ATGCATGGAGGGGATTGGAACCATGGCAATGTAATGATATACGATGGAATGAAAATGGAACTGAGGTTCTCTCATGTAAACTATCATATAACTCACAATAAAACATTAAAAAAAAAGAAAAAAGAAACATATCAAGCAAATGAGGACTTTATTTGGATCAAGATTTAAGCAAATCAACTGTATAAAGACATTATGAGACAATTGGGGTTAAGATGGGATAATGCTATTATGTAAAAAGGAGTCCTTGGTTTGTGTAGAAACATACTGAAGCAATTATTGATAAAATAATGTGATGTCCAAGATTTGCTTCATTATAAACCAGTGGAGGAGTGTCTTAGCTAACTGGTGGTAGTGGTGGTGGTGGTGGTGTGCTATGGAGAAGGTTCCTACTCATAGTGATCCTGCATAGGGTTTCTGAGGCTGTAAATCTTTATGAGAGCAGAAAACCTCATCTTTTTCCCACGGAACAGCTGTTAGTTTCCAACTACTGACCTTGGGTTGGCAGCCTGACTCATAACTACTACATTACCAGAGCTTTTGCTTAGCTGACTAGTGGTGCTATAACAGAACTTTATTCTTTCGTAGTTTAGAAGGCTAGCAGTCCAAATTCAAAGTGTCAGCTTTGGAGGAGGGTCCTTGCTTCCTTTCAACATCTGTGGACCTGGTATTCCTTGGAGAGCTCCATGTGTCTTGACATCACTCTTCCCCTGGATTCAGGAAGTTTCCAGTGCAGGGACCCTAGGTCCACAAGCTGAGCTCCACTCCCAGCTCTTTCTTGGTGGTGGTCAGGTCCCTCCTCTCTGATTACTTCTCTATCCTTTCAATCTCTGCTGTTGTTATTGTTAAGTGATGTCCAGTCGGTTCCTACCCATAGCGAACCTGTGTAGGGTTTCCAAGGAGTAACTGGTAAGCTTGAACTGCCAATCTTGTAGTTCAAACCTACTTTGCAGTCCAGTGCATTAACCCACAGCACCCCAGCAGGACTCCTTTTAAAAAGTATGACCTAAGCAAGGATATGACTTAAGGATGACTTGAGTACAGGTATGACTTTGAGTATTTGAGTGAGGGTGTGACTTGAGTTAAGGTGGGATTCTTGTAAGTCTGTGCCTCAGCATACAGCCCACACTAATCCTGCCTCTTTAACATGTAGAGGTTAAGATTTTGGGCAACAGATAGCAATATTGAAGGATTCCAAAGTTGGTTTGAACTGCAAGGTCGGTGGCTCAAGCCACAAGGTCAGCTCTTCGGAAACCCTATGCAGGGTGACGATGGGTCAGAACTAACTCAACCACACTTTGTTAACAACAACAATTTCTAATTTCACACCCAGAGGTAATTATTGTTAATATTTATTTTTCTTCAGAGTTAAATTTAGTATCTAATTGTAATAATGACTTTATCCCAGTTCCTTGATCAGTTCTGTCTATATTATATACATGGTCTGTTCTTCATATTTATCCTTATTGTTACCTTTTATTGGTTTAAGGAGCCCTGGTGGCATAGTGGGTTAAGGCTTGGGCTGCTAACCCACCAGCCACTCAGTAGGACAAAGATGAGGCATTGTACTCCTGTAAAAATTCAGTTTCTGAAACGCAGAGAGCATCTCTACTTTGTCCCAAAGAGTCACTATGCATTGGAATCGACTTGATGGTAGTGGGGTTTGGTTTAATGTTTTTTGTGTTTATTGTATTTAATTGCATAAATACATAAATTGAGGTCAGATATCTCATGGCTGGGAGAATGAGTCTGTTAGGAGCGGATCAATTCAGGGCCCAGAGTATGTGGAGCTTAATACATTGATTGCTCAGAAGTAAAAAGGGACAGAAAGACAGAAGAAGGAGAAGAGCGATGAAGCTAGTTGTTTTAAACCCTGACAAATAAAAAAAGTTACAATTTCTTTTATGAACACCATTTCATTTTCTTTTGAAATCTAAGGCAAGGTGATTTGCATACTGGCTTTCAGGGGAATAGTCTGGGAGTAATGGTCTTTTCTGACTGCCAGAAGATAAAGCGGAAATCAGGTTGACTTCTTGAAGTGCTTACGGCTAGCTACAGCTCATCCCACGCCATGCCAGCTCACCATCTCACTTTAGTAGTATCAACATAAAAGTACTGTGGATTTGTGCTTTAGGCCAGGGGATTTACCCAGCAGGCACATGTTGTGTACAGTATGGAAATCTCCCCACCCTCACATCCTGCCTACTTTATCATGTCCTCCCTGGCGCTTGAAAGGGCTATAAATAGCTGCCCTCTTGCCTTGCTTTTCAAAACAATTGACTTAAAATGTCTTCTCATGAGAAATGTTTACATTTCAGCCATCTATAATCTTGCATACTTACATAGATTCTATATCATATACAGCATTTTGTGCTTTCACTACCTAGAATTAAGTATTTTTGTTGTTGTTGTTAGATGCCATCAAGTCGGTACCGACTCATAGTGACCCTATGCACAACAGAATGAAACACTGCCCAATCCTGGGCCAACCTCACAATTGTTGCGATACTTGAGCCCATTGATGCTGCTACTCTGCCAATCCATCTTGATAGGGGTCTTCCTCTTTTTCTCTGACCCTCCATGTTACCAAACATGATATCCTTCTCCAGCGACTGGTCCCTCCTGACAATATGTCTGAAGTATGAGAGACAATGTCTGGCCATCCTGGCCTCCAAGGAGCTCTCTGGCTGCACTTCTTCCAACACAGATCTCTTGGTTCTTTTGGCAGCCCATGGCACTTTTAATATTCTCCTCCAACACCATAACTCAAATGCATCACTTCTTCTACGGTCTTCCTTATTCACTATCCAGCTTTCACATGCATATATATGAGGTTATTGAAAATAACTCGGGTCAGGCGCACCTTAGTCCTTAAGCTGACATCTTTACTCTTCAACACTTTAACATAGGATTACTTTTATGAGATAGACTCCATTTTTCTTTTTTTCTTTTTTTTTAAGTTGATGTTGTTAGGTGCTGTAGAGTCAGCTCTGACCCTAGGTACAACATAATGAAACACTCCTCACACTTGATGCTGTGTCTGAATCCATTGTTGCAGTCACGATGGCAATCTGTTTCATTGAGGATCTTCAACTCTTTCACTGACCTTCTACTTTGTCAGGCATGAAGTACTTCTCCAGGTACTAATTCTTTCTAATAACATGTCCAATATATGTGAGACAAAATCTTGATAACCTTGCATCTAAGGAGCATTCTGCCTCTATTCTTCCAATATACATATGCTCATTTTTATGGAAGTCCATGGTTATTTTAACATTTTTCACTAACACCCTCATTTAAAGGTATTGATTCTTGTTGTTGTTATTAGGTGCCATCTAATTGGCACCGACGATCGTGACACTATGCACAACAGAATGAAACACTGCCCAATTCAGCGCCAACCTCACAATCAGCCTGAGTCCATTGCTGCCGCCACTGTGTTAATCCATCTCATTGGGAGTCTTCTTCTTTTTCTCCAACCCTCCACTTTACCAAACATGTTAGCCTTCTCCAGGGACCGGTTCTTCTTGACAATATTCCTGAAGTATGAGAGACCAAGTCTGGCCATCATGGCTTCCAAGGAGCATTCTGGTTGTACTTCTTCCAACAAAGATTGGTTTGTTCTTTTGACAGTCCATGGTGTTTTTAATATTCTCCTCCAACACAAATCAAATGATTTTCCTAGGTCTTTCTTATTCATTGTCCAGTTTTCATAAGCATATGAGGTGATTGAGAATACCATAGCTTAGGCCAGGTGCATCCTAATCCTCAAAATGATTTATAATACTTCAAAGTTATTATTATCATGAGCCTCCCTCAAATGAGAAAATGGGTGGGAAAATTCTCCAGACCCTAGAAATCACAGTTCTGGTGGTTCTGATATATAGTAGAACCCCCGCTTTCAACCATTCGTTAGTTACATCTATATGCCTGCCAGCACTGTGCTATGCGCTGGGAACATAAAGAACAGCATTCTAGACACCCTTAGCAAGAACACAGTTTAATTCCAGCAATTTATTCACAGGAAGTAATTCAGCAAAATTTTCAGGAAGATGAGTTTCAGAATGGCTACATCTGTAACTACAACAATATTGGAAACAAACCAGACATTGACAGAAGCATAGTGATTTCATAAAGTATACATCCCAACATACTAATTTTAAAGAATAACCAAACTACACCTACATTTGCACAAGGTCCTCCTGTCCACTTAGGGGGAAGCAAGTAGCCCTGACCTAAGGAGGCACCTGTTTGGAGGTTTGGACAAAGGGCTATGTGATGGTGACATGTCACAAAGGACAGTGGGGGATAAATGCAGTGGTCCCAGGAGATTTAGGCAGAAGCCCTGGAGGGAGATGGGCAGTGGCCTTTGCTCTCCTCTCTCTTGGGCACACGATTTGTGGCTGGCCTGGCGGAACTGTCTTGAAAGAAGAGACCATGAGTGGTGAATGTGTGTTACCTTATTACACCGCGCACAGCTGCCGTTCAATGGGTGTGTTCAATACCTCCATGGGGGACTTGCAACGACAACTGTACAAAGGAGGAGAGTATGATATTTTCAAGTATGCACCAATGTTTGAGAGCGACTTTATACAGATCAGCAAAAAAGGAGAGGTGATTGATGTACACAACCGTGTCCGAATGGTGACTGTGGGCATTGCATCCACCAGCCCCATCCTTCCCCTGCCTGATGTCATGCTGCTGGCCCGACCAGTCAAAGCCTACCAAGAGCCGGATGGGTACGGTCAACCTATCAAGGGGAAAGGCCGCAAGGCCTCAAAGACCTTAGAGCTCACCAGGCTCCTTCCCTTGAAATTTGTTAAGATCTCTATCCATGACCGCGAGAAACAGCAGCTGCGCTTAAAACTTGCCACTGGCCGTACTTTTTACCTGCAGCTGTGTCCCTCTTCAGACGCACGAGAAGACCTCTTCTGCTATTGGGAAAAATTAGTTTATCTCCTGAGACCACCAGTGGAGAGTTATACCAGTACCCCGACCCTTCAAACTGGGGATCTAATGACCACATCTCTGTGTTTGACAGAAGACAACAAAAGCATCACGGTAAGCATTTTCAGAGGGGTGGGGTGGGGAATGAGAACAGGGTTCTTTGGGAGAGCAGCTAAAAGCTGGTCCTACAAAGTCTTTGGTGCAAGTTGAGACTCAGCTGAGAAATGTGCAATATTTGTGAAGACCTCTGTGCCAAAGAACTCGCTGCATAATGCAAATGGTTTGCCCTCAAATAGGACTCCTGGTGTGGTGCTGTGTGTTAATGAGCCAGATGCAAAGCTGTTTGACCTGCAAGTTTGGCGGTTCAAGCTCACCAGCTGCTCCTCGGAAACCCTATATAGGGTCACTATGGGTCGGAACCAACTCAACGGCACTTAACAACAACTAACCTAAGGGTTGGTTGGTTGGAGCCCACTCGTAGAGCTGTGGAGCCCTGATGAGCTGCAGCAGGAGGGAAAGCCACAGGCCATAAAGGTTCCAACCAGGAAAACCCTGTGGGGCAGTTCTACTCTGTAACATGTGGGGTGACCTAAGCTGCAATTGACTTGTGGTCAGTTGGTTTGGTTTGGGGTTTTTAGGGTCAAATGAGCCACCACTCAGGAACTTCCTCCCACTTTGAGGAGGTTTTGAGTGCTTCTCCAATATGTTTCATGAAGCTGAATTTCAGAGATTCCCCTAGGTGCCAGTTGCTCTGGTCTCATACCCAGGTCTGCCATCCACTCTACAGCATCTTGATTGTTCAATCTGAACACTTAACTATCCCAACCCAGGGGACTCATCTATTATGAAACCCTTGTAACAATGAGTAAGTCCTCTTTTCATTCAAACCATGCCTGCCATGTGCTGGTTTAAATGGAAATCAGTATTACACTCACGTGCACAAGCAACAATTGTGCATGAACATAACCTGTGGAGTAGCCTCCAAAATGTAAGATGTGTCTATCCCTTATCTCAACAACCCCACTTCTAAGAAATTGTCTTGCAGAAATATAAGCGTAAGTATGAAAATAAAAGTGTATCAAAATGGGAAATTAAATTGATGCTTTCCCTGGCCTGGGCATTGTTAAGCAACACTGAGTGGCCATTTGACAGGAGGTGCTGTAGACAGGATTCTTACATCAAATGGAAACTTCAATTTGATGATCTCAAAGGGTCTTCTATTGATCAGTGCTTGAGTTGCTCAGCTCAATTCCGGTCTCATTTGCTGTCTTCTCTATTTTATCTGTTTCTTTTCATACTGGCCCAGACCACAGAGCTATGTGGAGAAGGGGATCATGATGAGGTCAGAATGCACAAGCTCCGCGAGGTATCTGAAGCCACGTCTTCTGCTTACGCTGGGGGAGAGGGAATCCAACAAGCCTCCCATGCAATGCCTTCGAAAACCTCTGCAGCCATGAAACATCCATGGCCTGCCAAAGGAGCAACAATAGCAGGGGCAGCAGCAGGCCATACAACAGAGGCAACAGTAGCAGGGGCAGGAGCAAGCCATGCAACAGGGATGACAGTAGCAGGGGCAGGAGCAAGCCATGCAACAGGGACGACAGTAGCAGGGGCAGGATCAAGCCATGCAACAGGGACGGCAGTAGCAGGGGCAGCAGCTGCAGGTCGTAAAGCAAGCACAGTGAGTGTTGCAATCACCAAGTCTTCAGGCCCAGGACAGGTAAATGCAGCTCTGGCAGGCGTGGTTGCCAAGGGTCCAGGAGAAAGTGGAGCTAGCAAGGCCATGGCGGGTGCTGCCAACGTGTCCTCAGAGGGTGTTAACGCGGTCCTGGTTGGTGTCACAAGTACAACTACTCAGGGTAGTTCCACCATCTCAACAGTGGCTACCAATCTCTCTCCAGAAAGTAGCATGAGCGTGGTATTTGCAGGAGTAGCAACTACCAACAAGGCTGCTCCAGAAAGTGCTAAAGCGCCCCTTGTCTCAACCTTGCAAAGTGAAGGCTACATGAGTGAGCGGGATGGGAGCCAGAGGGTCTCCCAACCCAGTACTGAAGCCCGAAAGGAAAAAAAAGAAAGAAGAGCAAAGAAGGGCAAGAATCCTACTAGGAAAAGTTCCCATCACCATAGGTCAGGCAGGAACAAATCAACCCGTAAATCTTCCTCCCACCGGTCCATAGCTCGCCACAGAAACACCAAAGAGGATAAAAAAGAAAAAGGTCACAGCACCCTAAAGGAAAAAGGACGTAGGTCCTCCTCTCACAAAAGCATTAGCCACAGTCCCACCCCAAAAGAGTCTAAAACAACTCACAAACTCGGGAAGACCAGGTCTGCAACTAGCTCAGCTTCTCTAAGTAAGAAATCCAGCAAGATTGGCTCATTCTTCAAGAGCCTGAGAGCCATTCCTGCTTCAAAAGCAGTGATGACATCCCATGACAGAGGAGTGGACATTGTGGCCAAGACGGTGGAGAGGCACAACATCGAGGCCAAGATGGAGAAAGCACCGGGTGGCCAGGACCTGGAGATTACAGGTACCATGACTTCTGAGACCATGGAGACAATAATCTTCGAATCCAAAGTCAATTAAGTAGGAGCCAAAGCAGGAAGCTGCAAAGGAGACCAAGGCTTGGGAAATTATTCTCAGTAAGCCAATTCCAGCTTTTGATAATGCAGTTTAAATAAATAATAAAGCCATATAATACGGAATGAAATATTTGTTTTGTTTAATTATCAATGTCCCACAGCCTAGTGGTGACCTCACAGTGCTTTCTGTGATGTCAGCTGTGCCGCAGCCTGAGACTCATCTCCCCGGGCTTAGCAGAGCCAATGTAGGTGCCCTTTCTGACTTTGGATCTCAACACTACCAGCACTGCCCCATCTGTTTCTTCCCCACCCCCCACCCCACCTCCCCTTGGAGATCCCTAAAGATAGATCTCTGAAGGTTCCGGAACAGGGAGAGTCAGCCCATGGACTGGACCCGTGTCTAATCTACATCAAAGAATTGGCAGACCACAGCCTAGCTCAGCTAGCTTGTTTTCATAAATATAGTTTTAGTATGACATAGTCATACCATTCATTTACGTATTTTCTATAGCTGCTTCACACTAAACAACAGAGTTGAGTCATTGCCAGAGATACTGAATAGGCCACAAAGTCTAAAATGTTTACTATCTGGTCCTTTATGTTGTAAACTCCAGTCAATTCTGACTCACAGCCACCTGTATAGGGAAATGTTTAATCTTAGCAAGTCCAGTAGACAACTAGGGGACTTCTTGTGTGGCATGCTGCAGGATCAGCACTGGCCTGTGAACCACAAGGTCGGCAGTTCACACTCACTCAGAACCCTAAACAGGGCTGCTATGAGTTGGAACTGACTCTACAGCACTTTACAAGAAGAAGACAACTAGGGGAATGTTTATGGTAAAACTATTTGTACACAGCAATATCAATGCTATCCCCTCTGTATACAGGGTAAATAGGGACAGCCAACTTAGACATTGGCTACCTAAAATGAGGGGACAATAAAGGCATGAAGTGACTGGTTTACAAGTTTTCAAGAGGGAGTTTGGTTTAAGAGTGTGTGGGGGTAGATAGAGTCCCCACTGAGTAGTTTTCATCTTGTCTAGATGGGTCTGGTGAAAAGAGATGGGGATAAGATTCTTATGATTCAATAGTGAGTAATTGTTATCCTGACTAATTGCGACTGTTACAATTGTAAAGGTAGAATTTTGTAAAAAAATTGGATTGGTTAATCTTACAGTCCAGAAACAGAGGACTGTAGGACCATCAAGAGAGAAGAGCACAAGCACAATGTGGGACCTTATCCAGAGGAGCAGCGACACCAGAGATGGAGGCAGAGGTGGGGACCTAAAGAGAGGGAGCAGCTGAGGACTATAGATTCATGCAAAGAGAGGGACTGAGAGCTGGCAGCCAGGAGGTAGACTTGCAGAATATGCCCTTTGGTGGTGTAAATTATTATATATGCCTGAGTGTTAAAAAAAAAAAAAAAAAGAGTCAAATGAATAGAAATACTGTTGACTGATGGTACATGGAGGAGATTATAATCATTGTAATAAAACAAAGTATGTGATTTGTTGAATGTAAAACTGATGATCTGTCCTCTAAACTTTCACTCAATTCACAATAAAATATTTGTACTAGCAAAACGTTGGAAACAGCCCAGATATTTATCAGAGAGGAGAGCTGATGTATTGTGATATGAATATAGTGCATATTTCACAACAGTGAAAATGAATGCAAGCTCTCACATAATGTTGCAGAATAAAAGCAACTCAGAAAAACACATACTTGTGGTATATATTTGCTATACATAAAGAAAAAACAAGGGAATGATAAAATTCCCAGTAAATATGGGGTAGAAAGGAGATACTATCTAAGAGGTGGTACACACAGGGGCTTCCACAGATTGAGAATTGTTCTGTTTCTTAAGCACAAGTCTGTCCAGGGGACTGCATTAGTATTTTTTGTTTATTTTGAAATTTTTAACATCTCTGAAATCAGGTTGTTGGATTTTTAAATTACTGTAAACCAGCTTGGTGGCTCTGTAGGATAAGTATTAGACTGTGAGTCTGAAGTTCACCTGTTTGAGCCTCAGGAGAGAGTTAAGGTTTTCTGCTCCCCTAAAGATTCACAGGGTCACTTGATAGCAACAACATTTAGCAAACAACTTGCAAAAGCTCTGATGTCATTGCCACATTTGCTTAGAAATGGCTTAGCAAATTTATTTCAGATATATATGTCCTTCTTACATATACCCAAAAATGATACATGCCAAATATTTAAGCCTGAACCATTTTAATATAAAATAATCTTACATAACATAAAAAAGAACATTCAGAACACAGAAATCATATTGGGGTATTAATGAGAAACAACAAAATAATCTAGAATACTGGGTATAAATCAATTATGCAAATTATGCATGGATGTGGAAAATAATTACAAAAAATTTTAAAAAATCATATAAATTTTGAAATAGGATTAAAAAATTTTAAACAGTTTGCCGGGGTCTGCCCTCGACATAGTTGTCACGAGTGTTTGGTTCACGAGGAGGGGAGATCCAGCAGCGATAGGGATAGCAAAAGAATACACAGACAAATAGAAGGAGGGAGACAATGAGGCACCCCAAAGCCAGGGTGGATGCATCACTGGTGGGCAGGCTTGGGAGTATAGTCATCGTGGCCTCTGCAGGCAGCAACTCACTGCCCTGCAATCTTTACTGCATGCTTTCCAACCAGTAATGCACACTTGGGGAGGCCCGGGCCTCTGCTTTATTTAGGGGAGGAGTTTCACACCAAGCTGGGAGGGACTTAGGCAAGGTACAGCTAACATCAGTACTTTTCCAGACATTCAGGTAACTTTACATCATACTTTGCTGGTTCGAATCTCAGGCCAGCAACTTGGATTCTCAGGCCCAATTAACATATCTATAGCCCCTGAGGTTAGTTGGGGGAAGGTGAGAGTTCTGCAGGAGAGGCCCAGGTGAATGGGCTGCACCTGGAAAAGGGATTAGGGAGGATGGGTTCTTTGTCTATAGAACAAAGAACCAAGAAGTAGCTAAGATATTTTTAGTTAATCCTTTTGGAGAAAGGCTTGACCTTGCAACCTTTAGTCTTAGCTTTAGGAAAATATCACATTTATCTGTGGATTTTCAAAGGCTCCGTGTATTAATTTAATATATATAACTGAATATTAAGATGAAAGCAATTTGCCATTAACTGCCAGTGGCCTCATTTGTTACACTCGGCCCTAGAGGGCCTCGAACCTCTGACTAGTCTTACACGGTCTGCAACAACAGTTATTATAAAACATACATTTATTATAAAAACAATACATTGTTTTTATAATAAATGTTTTAAAAGATATTTTTCATTGAGTCTATGAAAGTAAATTTTTAATAGCAGATACAAGTTGGATTTGAGAAAAAGGATCTGAGAACTCTGTGTTGGTATGAACTCAGGTGACAACTGCCCCCCCTTTGAATTCTTTGTTTGCTGTCCTCTATGAAAATGGCACCTATTAGAACAGAAGTTGGGATTCAAGTAAAACATAGGGGCCTTCTCTTTAGATCAAATATATGTGGAGGTGTTACTGCAAACTGATGGCCTAATGGTGCTCGCCTTGTGAAAAATTCATTGCTCAGAGACAGGTGTGATAAAACAAGCAAGGTTTAATGGAGGGGGTAAGGGACGGCATGTTCTTCAAATCTGCCTCCTCCAGGAAAAGGACTGATAGTGATCTTGGGCGTAAAGTAGGGGGTCCGAGGAATTCTAGGAACTTCTTGTTGTGTTGTGTTTATCACAGGTCATACTGACCACTCCAGGCATGTTATTTCCAGTATGTGCTATTTTCTGCTTCATTGGTGGTCAGTTAGTCAGCAGTAGTTTTGCTGGTTTCCTGGATGCACAGATTTCTCAAGAGATGTATAACTGTTTTTCTTCATTCCTAGAATAGCCTTCAGGGTAGGTGTTAACTACTGATCAATCTCTAGGAAGGTGCTGACAAAGGTCACTCTACTTAGAACTAGACTCACTTGATCCAGCTGCAGCTTCAGAGGATGTGATAAACAGAGTTCTCTGGACTTTGCTGTCTTCAGATTGTCAAGGACAGCCCTTCTCAGGATGTTCTGCAGGGTGGCTGAAAAATCCCACCTTGTGATTTCCGGTATGCAAAGACCAGTCATTGTTGTTGACCAGGAAGTCCTTGGAACTGACTCTTGAAGTACCAGGTAAATGTAGAGGGGAAGGAAGAGTGTTATGGACTGAACTGAGGCCTCTCCTAAAAGATATGTAGACATCCCAGCCCTTGGTATATTGAATGTGACCGTGTTTAGAAATAGGGTCTTTGAAGATGTTTATCAGTTAACATGAGGTCATAATGGAGTAGAGGGAGCCCTAATCCAATTTGAGTGATGTCATTATAAAAGAAAAGAGACATGGGGGAAGGATGACCACATGAAGCTACATCTATAAACCAAGGAACACCTGGAGCTCCGAAAAGTGGGTGAGATAAGAAAATACCTTCTACGAATCAGGCTGCTAATTTCACGGTCAACAGTTCGAAGATACCAGTGGTTTCCCAGGAGAAAGATGAGGCTTCCTGCTCCCTTAAAGATTTACAGCCTCGGAAACCCTGTACAAGGGTCACTATGAGTCAAAACTGACTCCATGGCACACCACCACCACTGGAGACTTTCTGATGTGGCGCTGTGAATTAATGCACTAGACTGCAAAGTCAGTTTGAACTGTAAGGTTGGTGGTTCAAGTTCACCAGACACTCCTCAGAAATGCTATACAGGGTGGCTAAGGGTCAGAACTGTCTTGATGCCACTTAACAACAACAACAAAGAGACCAGAGAGAGCATGGCTCTAGTGGATGCATTAATTTTGACTACCAGCCTGCAGGACTGTGACTGACCCACTTTGTGATCCTTTGTTATGATTGCTGTTTTTGTTGTTAAGTGCCATCAAATCAGTTCTGACCCATAGTGAACCTCCACAGGGTTTCTAAGGAGTGACTGGTGAATTTGAACCACTGACCTTGTGGTTCAAACTGACCTTGCGGTCC